GGCCCCCCCCCCCTTTTTTTTTTTTTTTTTTTTTTGCCCAGCATACATGTTGGGTGACTTACAACTACCTGTAACTCCAGCTCCAGGGGATCAGATACCCTCTTCTGGCTTCCATGAGCAACTACACACACAAATATACATACTTATCTTTTTAATTTCATTCAGTAGAAATTGGACATGGTAGCACATACCTGCCAGCTGAGGTAGGACAGCTATGAAATCAAGGTCAACCGGGCTGGGCAGCAAGATGCTGTCACAAAACCAGCAAGAACAAAAGGTTTGCTAGGTGTTTCTGTCCCTTGGACCCCAGTGGTATCTATTCAGTATGGCTATTCTGTCCTTACCTGGGTGGCCCCACCACCCTCAGGATTACAGAAAGGGGGGGCTGTCTCCAGCTGAGCATTTTTCAGGGGATTATGTCTTCCTGGGCAGTGTGGCGATGAGTGGCAAACACTGACCTGCTTCCCTCCATCTTCTAGAGCTGCCAACTTCAGGAACTTCACCTTCATCCAGTTGAATGGAGAATTTTCCCGAGGAAAGGGACTGGATGTTGGAGCCCGCTTCTGGAAGGGAAGCAATGTCCTGCTCTTTTTCTGTGACGTGGACATCTACTTCACCTCTGAGTTCCTCAACACGTGTAGGCTGAACACACAGCCAGGTTTGCATTGTCTCTTTCTTACCTCTTTTTGGTACTGGCTCTCTCGCCTTCAGGCATTGCTGTGTGCACGGTCCACTCTGGTATCCTGCTGAGGAATCAGAGGCAACTTTCTTCCAGTCACAAAGACAAGGAAGGTGACCTTGTGCAATTTACCCCCAGGTGTTGTGCAGCAGACCTGTCACGTACACTAATTCTGGGACTCTGTCTTGTGTCCCTGTTCATAATCCCTTTCTGTCTCCCACTGGGAGATCAGATGAGTAGGACATCCACAGGAGATGGTAGGCTAGAAGATATGGGCCTGTAAAAGCCTCTCAAAGGCTATGGCAGAAAACAACAAACAATAACAACAACAAAAATCAATACAGATGTGATAGACAGGTAACAATACAAGCATGATCATTTGCTGTTAAAATATGGCAATTCTTCCATGTGTATCAGTAAAGGGTAGCCACTCTGAGCCCTTTGTTGCCCAGGGTCTTCCTGACCTCCTTTGCCAGTCTTTAAGGTTGTGCTAGAAACCAATGTTAAGGGCTTTGTGCATGCAGGACAGGGACATCAGGAACCTCGTCCACACTCATGGCTTTGGGGAATGCAATTCCAGCCCCTGACTACCAACAATGTGCAAATTGTTCTCATCCTTGGGAGGACAGAAGGGTTAGAGAATCAAACTGACTGGTCTAGCTGGTGCAGTATTTCTATGACCTATTCTAGAGCTGAGTGAAGGGAGACAAAAGAGTGGGTGAAAATGCATGGGCTATTTCCAATAGCTGACTGCTACAAACCCAGCAATGGAATGAGTACTAAGCAGATGTTTGCTTTCTGATTTGCAGGGAAGAAAGTGTTTTATCCAGTTCTCTTCAGTCAGTATAACCCTGGCATAATCTATGGCCATCAGGATGCAGTCCCACCCCTAGAGCAGCAGCTGGTAAGTAATGATGTTGCAGATGTCTGTGTGTGACTGTTTCACGTCGCTCATTACTAGGGCACCTGACCGTGAGGAAAGGTGAGTGGGATGGGATCCACAGGCCAATCCCCTTAATGGATTTTAAGTGTGGCAGATGTTCTGGCCTTTGCTCCGAGTGCCATGTTGATTAAAAGTGCAATATTTAAAAGTAGAAAATAACTAGGAACCATGCCTTATAAGAGAGTAATTTCATAGTTTTCTTCTATGGTTTTAGGAACTACTATTATTGGATTATGGCCAGAGTATGCTTTCTCTTTATCATTACAGATTCTAGCAAGAAAAGTGAGGCTGATGTTTCATTAAAAAACGTGGTGGAACCCTAAAATGGTGGAAGACCATTGGCATCCCCCAAGGTTACAGTGAACCAGTAGGGAGCAAGGACCCAATCCTGTCCCGTGGCCCTTCACTTATCCCACTCTGTCTCCACTCCTACACATCCCTGTATTGGGGCAGATGTTGGCATCAATGGTGTCACCAGAAAGGTAGCTTTCAAAGAAATGGTAGAGGGATCTCTCTGCCAAGATCTTGGCTCCACAAGTGATGGGTAGTGATGGGAACCACAGAGCCCCCAGGGCCTGTTCAATCTCAGACAGAAGAAAATGGGAACTGAGACAAACCAGGAGAGTATTCCCATGCCTCTCCAAATGGTACTGTTTGCCTATGTGGGATATGCTCCAAGACCCTCACTGGATGTGTGAGATAATGAATAGTTCCAAGCCATAAATAATACCCAGCCCTATACATAGAGTGGCTTTCTCTATACTTGCATCCATGGTAATATTTAAATTATAAATTAGCAGTGAGAGAGTAACAACAAGGACTAATGATAATATAGAATATAACAATATCCTAAAATAAGCATCATTTAAAACATAACTTACTCATTTCTGGTATTATCCATTTATTATTTTCAGATGTCGGCAGATATAACTAAAACCATGGAGTGTAAAGGTTCTGTACTGTTGGCTTTCTGGGCATAGACCAGACCCTCCTCTCACCCCCACTCAGGGTAATCTTTCCAGCAAGGCAATTATTTTGGATGCCTCTGCCTGCTGTTAGCAAGCCTGGGCATGCCATGCTTTTCCAACTGAGTACCCTTATGGGCAGGAAGACATGCTGATGTGATGGGACTAAGCTGCCCTGTGCCCGGTGTCATGGGAGAACAATGTTCTGCAAAGTTCATTTGGGTAGCTGAGTCTGTAATTAGTTTTCAGAAGTAACAAAATCTGTTCCCTCCATGCCTGTCCCAGGCCCTTCCCCCTTCCCCAGGGTGATCTTCTACAGAACTGAAGCTCTGGTATTTTCAGAATGGAGGAGGGTCATGTCCCACGCTTGTCCTAGTGTGATTTTGGTGGGCTCAAGCCAGAAAGTGCATAAACACACTGTGTATGGTCTACATCTCTATCTGGGCTTTAGAGATGAAAACAATACAGTTTCACAGCCCAAGAACCAATTTCCTACTCATGAGAGATAAGTCTTGGCGAGGACAGGGGCTTCTGGCTTCCCATCCCAGGAGCTGTAAGCTTCTCATGGGGTGTTGAAGGAAAATGGGAGGAAGTATTTGTTGTCTTTCAACCGCTGAGAATAAAAATTTCCTTGGTTTAAATAAAGCTCTATTTTATATTTGACATTGGAAATGATTAATGTTTCTAGTTCAAATTCATAAAGGCCCAATTTGCTTGCAATGGCTTCTTTTCATTTCCTAATCTGAAGCTTTTGTCCTTTCTAATTCATCCTACTGGGAGCAGGTAAGATGGAAGGCAGAGAGACAGATAGCGCAGAAGTAGACCCACAGAATAAGCAGTCCCGGTAGAAATGGCTTAGATCACTCAGTTCCCTATGGCCATAGAAACCTCAATCAGCCTACAGGCTTTGACATTTACTTCTTTAGGCATCATTGACCCCTCTTCCAGTACATAAAACAGCTGTTAAAGAGCTCAGCACTTACAATTCAGTGAAATGCAGCAATTTCAAGGTTCCCCAGACCTCAGAGAAATGTGTGATTGCATTCTTCATTAGACAGGTCATTTATTTTATTTTATTTTATTTTATTTTTACTTATGTGTGTAAGGTCAGATGAGGATTTAAGATCTCTTGGAGGTGGAGTCACATCTGGTGCAGGTGCCAGGAACCAAGCTCAGGTCCTCCCTAAGTGCATCAAGACCTTTCAGCCATGGAGCCATCTGTAGAATCCCAGGACCAATTGTATCTTGATCACTTGCTACCCACAAAGGTCTGCTCCAGGTCCTGGTAATGGAGTCAAAAGAACTGCATTTGTTTCATACACTTAGGCATGATTGATCAGAGACCTCTCTACCAACCACCCTTCAGAGAGGCTGAATTAATGGTCCAAGGCTGAGAAGTCAGAGCTAGGGAGATAGGGTGCTTGCTGTGAAAGTATGAGAACCTGAATTCAAGTCCCCACCCCTCCCCAGACAGATGGGTGTCACATACATGAAACTGTAGCACTGGGAGAGTGATGGAGACAGGGAGATCCCAGCTGCATGCCCTGTGGAGAGGCGGGTCAGTCACTAGCCAGAAAGTCCAACCAAACTGCCAGCTCCAAGTTCATTGCAGACCTTCTCTCAAAAAATAATGTGAGGAGTGACAAAGGAAGATACCCAAAGCTAACCTCTGGCCTCTAAACATGTACATGTGAGCACCCACACACAAGTGTGCAAGCACAGGGGCACAATAGCATGCATGCGCGTGCGCGCGTGCACACGCGCACACACACACACATACACACACACACACACACACACACACACACACACACACACACACACACACACATCACAAGGTGTCTGAGTGACAGAGCTTAGCCCATGCCAAGGTGCCCCTTCCTCTGGATCAGTAGGACTAGATCTGCCAACCCTCCCCAAGGGAGCCAAGGCACACAGAAACTAGCCTGACAAGAATTCTACAGGCAAACACCAAACTACAGAAACTAATACAATGGGGACAGAATGTGTAGGTGACAAGACATCATAAAATAAAAAGTAATAGCTGGAGATGGGCGAGTTAGGAGAGATTTCCTCCTGCGATTGCAATTTGGCTCAGTCTAGACTGTGTGTATATTAACAAATCCCTTGTTGCCTTCCCTGGAACACAGCAGTTCCTCAATGGGGTGTGGAATCTGGGTTCAGAATGGGACTGTAATAAAGGTAACCTATGCAAACAAGAATGCTGTTTGCAGCAACCTCTCAAATACAGCCTCCTGCTCAGTGGTCCAGGGATGAGTTTTCATGGTCATCAGTCCTGGAGTTAGTTTCTGTTTTGCCTAAAGATGAAAGCATCTCCAGTATGTCCAGATGACTTCTTATTTCTTTAACCTCTGCATACAAATCATTAGTAACAAGCGGCACTGTGGGATTTCATCCTAATATTTAACTTTTGAGTTAAACTTGAAATGAAACTTGCTGGTGCCTTGATGCAGAAACAGCATACCGAGAAGGGAATGGCTGTAATTTAAATCAATGTTCACTTTAAACATTCCACCTTGCTGGCTCAGCCTGCCAGTTCCTGCTTAGATCACTGCAGAAGCCTCCTACTTCTCCTATCTTTAGATTCAGACCCTCCCCACACTCCAGTCTTTCCTCGTCCTCTGCCAGAGACTCGCTTTGAATAAACAAATTAATTCTACTTTTTACAAAAGAGTGTTTATGGAATAAAGCCAGTGGTATGCTTGCAAATGTTTAGCAACCCACTCTTGGAAAGAAGAAGAAGAAGAAGGAAAAAAAGCCTGGTGATGGTATTTGCCAATTTCCATGGTGTAAATAATCCCACTGTGGCTTATTTTGGACTTACCAGTGTGTTACCACAGGGCATGCAGCTGGGAAGAGATGAGCACAAATCTGGTGCATCCATGTGGGCTGTCTCGAGCACAGGGCTGCAAACTCTGATTTCTTGCTGGGACTAATTGTCCTCCATAAACCAACTCAACCTGGTTGCAAAGAAAATGTAAACTAATCCCACCACCTGGCAGATGACACTAAGTCCAAGGACATCCAAGTCAGCCTGCCATCGTGCAGTACTGCTGGCTCACAGTCTCTGAGTGCTGTCCTTGTTTCCCCAGGCCACCGCCTACCAAATTTCAGTCTCTTGGCGTTTGATGTCCACTGTGATGGCTGCTGTGCAGTAACACCTGTCACTTAAGCCTGTTCACTATGGGACACAGTTGAGTGTTTATGGTGTGTCCTCACTTGTCCTCATCATCTCTTGATTATACCTGTACTGCTTTACCAGTCTCAAATTGTGTGTAGACCCAGAGGTTGATATCAAGTCTCCCTTGATCACTGTCCTCCTTAATTATTTTTTTTAACAATTTCATACATATATTAATATAATTGGTCCTAATTTCTCTCCTATTACCCTCTCTTATGTTACTCCTATTGGTCCCTTCTTTTTCCTTCCACTTTGTTTCTTGAGACAGGGTCTCTCTCTCTCTCTTTCTCTCTCTCTCTCTCTCTCTCTCTCTCTCTCTCTCTCTCTCTCTATCCTTCCTCCACCTTTTCTCCTTATCCTCCTTGTTTGTCTTCTCCACCTTGCCCCACATATGTAGCTTGTTGATCTACCTAATCTGCCTGGACAGTGAACAGAGGGTTAGAGAAATACTTCACTAACCTAGGTTTTTATGTGAGTTCTAGGGATCCAAACTCTGGACTTCATACTTGTGAAGCAATCACTGTAGCAAGAAGCCATTTCTCAGCTCCTCAATTGGTTGACCTTTTTTATTTGGGGAATTGAATTACATGACCATTTAACCACTGACCTGTGCTTCAGTTTTGAGCATTGTCTGCTGAGCGTGGTATGTGCAGTGTACCCTTGCAGACTGTTTTTTGTTTATTCAGAAAGCATGCACTTACTAAATTGCAAAAGTCATTTGAGAATTCCTCACTGTGACCATATAATTTCCCATAATTCTCAACAAGGGTAAATGACATAAGTACACTAGCTCA